TAAAATATGTAGGAACCCTCGGAGATTTGGCCTCTCTCTCTCTCTCTCTCTCTCTCTCTCTCTCTCTCTCTCGCTCACTCTCTCTCTCTCTCTCTCTCTCTCTCTCTCTCTCTATTTGATATTTATTGATCAGTTGCTGGTATCCCTTTAATCACATCATGTCAGATCAGTTGTGCCTTTGATGACACACTGCATCCACACACTGCACCTGCATGGAGAATAACAGGAAGAATAAAATATGTAGGAACCCTCGGAGATTTGGCCTCAACTGGAGAGGGCCGGGCTCCTGTGATCAACAGATGGTTTGATGAGCGACGGATGACAGCTGAGAGATGCGGCTCATCTCAAAGCACGTCGAGCTGCTGGCTCATGTGAATTCCACTGTTTATGGTGCCAGGAGGAAGTGTCAACCCAGTCGTTGTTCCCAGTGAGTCCGACAATCACATAATTATGTTTACTTTCATTTAGCATGACCAATGTCCTCGGTGTGCTGTCAGAGCATCACTTGGAAATCCAGTGAACAGTTGACAGGTGACACATCATTTGATTACCTGGTAATAATCCCAACGCACAGCTCCCCCTGGGGACTGCATGGCGTGTTCATTGAGTTTGGTTCTGCTTCCTTAAACAGGAGGATTCAGAGAGCATGGCAGAAGAAACATTGGTGCACGCTGTCAAATTCTGTTTCTTGGCCAAAAGTGAACACTGATATTCGTAATAATTTTGGGTGATGAAGCAAAAAAGTTATTTTAAACTATTATTGATTAATTGACTCTGTTTTTACTTCATTTTATTAAATTACTGATGCACATTAAGTTGGAGCCTATGTTGAAAACGTCAACCTCATGATGGGATGTAAAGCGATCCTTGTCAAACCAAGAGGGAACTCATTGATTGTACACATTTCTTTATTGAAAACTAAATACGACTTTTCTGAATTATAAGAAACGGTATCGAGACTATCTACAGAAGTAATTAGTGAACTCGCAGAATCCAGATCAATAATTGTGTCTTATTCTTTTTAAGTTTACATGAGAAGGAAGGTGAAAATGTGAAATTTCAAAAAAAGAATCATGATGTGAGTGCTTGATGAAAAATCACCAACATTTAGGATTGACACACATTTCAAACATACTTTTTTGCATTTTGACATTTCCTTCAACCACCGAAGGCCGACAGAGATTTTTATGATGGGAATTTAATAGCATGACAAAGGGAAAAGGCTCGTACAGACAGTGAAACATATAATGGCACAGAGTCAATGGGAATCGTTGCATTATGATGTGGTGGAGTCTACTCTCTCCTGCCCCGGCCGGTCTTCAGCCAGGACACAAACTCCTTTGCTGCCTTGTCTTGCAGGTAGGAGCTCACGTCGCTGGTGTAGGTGCCGTCTGCATGACGTCTAAATAGACTCCTGCAGAAACAGATACATTCATTACAACTGGGGTGCAAACGACTAACTACTTTTTGAATAAGCTTGATTAGACCTGAAATCAAATCAGATCCAGAGACAACACAATCATAGTCCTTAATATATTACAACATTCAGAATAATTCAAGTAATGCTCCAACATGAAGTGATTCAGTAATAGGAAGTCACAGGGCCGTGGTTGCATATCTTGGTAGGTAGGTGCTCAAGTGAAAAAAAGGGCACCCCTCTCATAATTACTGATTAAAACAAAGTTATTTACAGAAGTGCATCTGTTAACCACAGATTTATTTATTTAAAGGATGTTTGATAGTAAAAAATTATGGTAATATATCTCTGATGTTCAGTTTCAGTGACAGTGAAAACCATATTGAGGCTTTCAAATCCTAAGGTTATCTGGTTGACATCAGGCAAATTAAAACTTGAATCCAATTCAGATGTGTAAATTGCTGTGGCTCGGATGAGGGCACATACGCAAAGGCAATGAAAATAATGTGGGTCAAAGTTCACCAAAGTTGAACCCCAATAATTAGATCTCAAATTATTGAAATTGAGAACTGATGCCATCACTGGAAATATTTAAAAAACTGATATACCTTTTTTTTTAAATTTTGAGAAATGTCCCGCAAAAGTTTTTCAGAGGCCAAATCAATAGGTGCTCATCTGTGCACGAGCCTGACAGGACACACTCACCCGTTCCTTTTTGAGTTCTTTAGCCACTGGACAAAGTCTTGTGCTCGTCTTGTCTCCAGGTATTTACTGTAGTCGTTTGAAAATGTTCCCTCTGAATGTCTCTTTGGGAGCTCAATTGGTTCGGTCATCATGGAGTTTTCAGTCAATATCCTACAAGAAAAAGACATTGAAACAGCTGAGGTGAGCAGGACGCACTCTCACTTCAAACCCTCCTCTTCCTGTCATGTGGTTGTAAATGCCCAACTGCTGCATGCAAACCTATTTGTACTCATTGTTCATATCATAGCCTCCCCCGCCCCCTCTCCTCTGTTCTTCCTCTCTCTTGCAGGGTCTCCTGGGGGAGTTCTTATTTGCCAAATTCTCCCCCACGCCACATCTGTTCTTCCAGCTTCCCTATCCACCACTAATCACTACTCACACATTTCATTATCAGTGATCATAACTGTAAACGTGGATCTCGTTGATGCCGTGATCGTAGATTGTTTGATTTTAAAAGATTTAATGAGCACAAGCAAAACTTGAGCAGTTTTTTTTGTCATGAATCATAAGCAATAGTTGAAACTAAATAATCAACAGAAACATTCAAACATTGTCACAATTCACAAACATACACTAAGGCATTAGAATATTTTCACATTTTTGTAAGAAACATGACAGTGTAATCTCACAACATTTTACTAATCTTTAAATTAAAATGAATATTTGCTGCAGGTTGTCTCATTGCAAATTCCATCTGAAATTACAAGACATTTCTTTTCACCTATGTGCAAAATGTGACAAAACGGCCTGCACACTCTCTGCCTATAACTTTTTCGACCAACAAAAACCCATAAAAAATAAATAGATAAATAGTTTTGATGAGAGTTTCTACAAATTATGTTCAACTCTGGTTACTTGCTGCAAAAATCAAAACCTTTGATGAAACCTGAATGCCATGTCAGGCTGGAGAGTCCCGTGGTGAGTCAGGGAGAAAGAAGAAAAGCAGAGAGTTGATCTTACATGGAGTTTCGATCTGTGTCCTGGTCAGGCACCTGCCAGCTGGTTTGGATGATGATGAGAAGCAGGAGTCCGGACAAAGTGTGGACGCTTGTCATCGTTTGAGCTTCTGAAAGGTGAACAAAACATTTTGAGATTATTTCACCGAACCATGTTGAAATAAAAGTTTTTCCTGACGAGATAAAGTGCATGTCTCACCTGTGCTCCTTTATCTGAGCGTCTGACAGAGGGATTGAAAAGTGTGTTGGCTGCTGTCCGTCTTCTCTCTTGGCTTCTGCAGCTGTTTCATGGTCCCCTCTTGATCTGCTGGCTCTTATATAGTCGAGCGGAGGAGCACTCTCTCAGGTGACTCCCTCGTCACACCAACATCAGCACATCCTCACTTTCTCTCAACCCATTAGTCAGCTTCTGTCTCAGTCCACTGGATGTGTTTGACTTGAAGAAAACCCTACCAACGTCTGAGTGATAAAAGCTACTGCTTTAGGTGTCACAATCAAACATGACCTCTGCCCTGACAAATAAATACCGGCACCCAGATGTGTTTGAACTGCTGCGCCTAATGAAACAAAAAGCTTTCTCCTATAGGCAAATCCTGTTATGAAAAAAAATTAAGCTAACCTCCAGATATATACATAAAAAAACACATTTTTAAATATTACACTTGTAGCACTCAAGAATAATTAAATGTGGACCATGCCGTCATATTTTGCTTGTGCCCATGTATCCAAATATCAAGAGACAGTGGGGGGTTTCTTATATTAGTTGTAATTTTTTTTCTCTGTATCCTGGAGTTGCTGCAAACGACGTAAAGACAATGCCCACATAGTTAAGATTTTATTTGTAAATTACGAAGAAAGAATTCCTCTTTCCAACCCTGTATACTTTCTTACAAATACTGTTAAAATAAGATACGGAAATGTTTTTTTAGTAA